TGAATAGTTTTGTTAATATCATTAAAACTAGTGATAAGTATTTGAAATATTTTAACAATACACTAATGAAGTGATTAAACAGTGATTTCCTCCACTCTATCGCTGATAAGAAATTGACAAACAATTGCAGACACTATTGAAAAGACGGCCACAAAACCAGAAAACATAAACTAATTGTAAAATTTTGAATCAATGGAAACGTATGGCTCGGAGTCGGTGTTGTCGGTGATTCGGATCAGTTTAATAACGACAATCTGTATATCATTTGTGTCACACTTGAGGGCCATTTGGGGCTCAATTGAGAGCTGTATCGACGACGACGTCTACCATCAAAGACATTCTTCGACTATCAATCTTCAAGTGATGCTATTCTGCAACAAATACGCGACACTTCGCTCATCGCTGTTGATATTGTTGTTAATTCAATGCATTTTATCATTGGTTGGATTACTCGCTGTTTTACATCACTTGACTTTTCTATTATTCTTGTATTCAGTTTTTATGATAATTGTATTCATAACTGAATTAAAACTCTTCGCAAAGTATATTCAACTCCAAAGCCTTTTGTTCCACTATTTGACGACAATTATAACCCTATTGTTATTGCTTTATAACAAATATTATGTCATTTCATAATTAATTTTGACATTAATTTATAATTATATCCATTTTTAAGACAATATTTTGTAAAAATTAGTGTAATTTTCAAATGAAAAACTATTTAGTTGTAAATAATGTGTTATAAGAGATGTATATTTAATTTATTTAAATTATTTATAAAATAAAGTGTATTTAAAATGTAGCCTACTTTTAATTGTAAATGAAATGAACTAACTAGCTTGTTCATTCTCCAGGGTAATAAACTTTATAAACTGAATATTTTTACATCTAGTTTGTGTATTGGGTAACCAATATGATTCATTCAATTTAAGTAACATGCTTGAATCATGAAAAAATTAAATTAAAATTTTAATTAAAATTATAATAATTATAATAACAACTAATTAATAATTAAATAAAACTGTTATTCAAATAACAGTAATAAATAAAAATGATATAACATTTTGGACGTACTTTGTGTGAGAGTCGGCACAACTCAACTCAAAACACATGGCATTTAAATGTGATTTAATTTTGTGTACAAAACATATCAGAAATTGTTTCTCAAAATTAAATACAAATCAATAATTAAATTGTGTTTCAAATCGTAATTAACGACACATTTTTGGGATCAATTGTCTTCAGCGATGACCAGATATTCGCGCAAAAAGGGGAAAAACCCTCCGAACAGACGGATCGGCAAACGAGGCCTCAAAATGAGGACATATAAGAAAGACTTGGATCTCATTCAACACCAATTGAGTCAAACCATTGCCGCCAAAGATAATGAAGACAACGGCGTTGTTGTCGTTCATTTGCCGAAGACTGTGGTCACTGATGGCACCGTCGATGACGGCTCGGACGTGGACTACGACCTGCCGGCCAACGGACAGTTCCAGTGCCGAGAGTGCGCGTAAGACATCTGATCCGTACCGTCGATGACAACGTGTATTGTCATTGATTTGATGAACGCTTTTATTGACCATTTGTTTGTTATTTTAGCCGCTATTTCATTGACGACAAAGCAATGAGAGATCACAACAAAAGCAAAGCCCATAAGAAGAGACTCAAACTGATAAGAGATGAGCCGTACAGTCAAGAGGAGGCCGAGAGAGCGTCCGGTATGGGATCCTATGTTTCCGAAGACATGCATAAACGCGGATCAGTTAATAAACGACAGCACATGGAAACGGATTGAAACATATTTATGTATTTTTAAATTAAAAGTTTTATTTTATTTTTGTATGTCTTTCTGTCTATTGGTTTAAAGAGTGTACAAAAATGTTGACCCAATAGTAGGTCTCAATTTTGGTATGAAATTAGTGCTAAAATACCACCGATTGTTCACACGATGTCATGAAATGGCAAACTATTGTCAAATATGCGTAAAAACAATTGATTTGTTAATACAATATATTTTCTCAGTTAATGCTAAATAGTTTTTTGGTTACTTTTAAATTGAGTGCATATTTGTTGATCAAATCAGTTAGTGTTTAGACTACTTGTATGTGCAGTAGATTTGCTTAAAAAACTAAATCTATATCCATGTGAATGGTGTGAAAGTGCTATACGTTTGTGCGAGCGATCGGTGGTATTCGTGGATAAATGTTGGCCGTCTGGTCGTTGCGCAACGGATTCACTATCTCCTGGTCTTCGTCGCCGTTGTTGTCGTCGGTTACGCCCAAACGGCGATTCAGTTGTCTCATTGCGACCATCGGTTTGTCTGTCGGCTGATTATTGGGCGACGAGTGGCCGTCTCTGACCCGACGCACGGGTCTGTCGTTCTGCAACTGACGCCAACTCTCGGGCAACAGTTTCTCCAAATAATAACAGGCAGTGATGTTAATCAGGTTTTTGTCTAAACGCCGGTCTTTATTGCCTTTTGTCGCCAAACTTACGATATTTCCCACAATTAGTGACACAAAGAAACCGATGAACGGCACGAAGAATGGAGAGATGTGATGGATTATGTCATTGCCTGTAATTGCATTGAGTGAATGCGTTAATGGTGTAAATTAGATAAATGATTATGGTCTATACCTTTGGGGTGATAACGTGGTACTTTATATGTTTGCATGAAAGCCAAGGGCACGTCCGTAATGTTTTGGCTGTAATAAGTGATGTTTAGCGCATCGCAGCCCACAGTGGTTAAGGCCAGCGCCATAGTCGTCGGGTCTCTCTTGTCCGAAACGGATCCGATTGTAATCCAAAAGCATATAATCTGGCCGACGATGAGAGCGGCGGCGCCTCCGATAGCGTTAGCCCACGGAAAGAATAGACCCAAACAGAAGAGCCCAAAGAGGGGCCCATTGGACGCGCCGTAAAGCATAATCGCCGCCTCCACTATGTTTTGGGTCTCTTTGGCCACAAACGCCATACTTATGGACACAATTCCGATCAAAATGGCCAACAGTTTAGTGGCGTAAACGCTGTACTTATCGGGCAAGAAGTGAAACACTTTGCGGGCGTAATCGTCCCAAATAATGGACGCCATGGCGTTTAGACCCGACGACAGAGTACTCAAAGAGCTGCCAAATACCAGAGCCACGAACATTCCGGGAAGACCCGGATAGTCGCCCTCAAAGATGTCCAGCACGAAGAACGGTAGCATTTGATCCGGACGTTTGACGCGACCGGTAACCAGTGGACAGCAGTCGTAATATCTGGCAAACATCATAACACCGGTTGTCAGACACAACACAATCACGAGTACATAACCGGGTGTCGCGAAGTATAGGGCTCTCTTAGCGGCCCGAAGGCTAGGCATACAAACAACCCGTTGTATTTGCATTTGATTGGTGCTAAATGTGCCGCTGTATAGCACTATGAAGCCCAGCATCATAACCCAAAACGAGCTTGTTGAGTAGATGTCAAAGTCCATGCTATTATTTGGATGTACAGTAAAGTGTAAATGTAAAATAATTGTCATAATATATAGTATTGTGGCATTACTTCCAGAACTCAATACGTCCGCCCGCGTGAGCCCTCTCGAAAACGTTGGCCATTCCTCCCGATATGTTTGCGCCCTTTAATGGTTTGAATCAATGATTATATTTCAGTTATTTATTACCGAAAGATAGTTAAAGTAAATAAGTGACGAACTCTGATAACAACAGCCATTAGTCCAATGATCATAACACAGAACTGGAAGAAGTCGGTCCATATGACACCCTTTAGACCACCCAATGAGGTATATATTGTAACAATAAAACCGATGACTAAAATGCTTGATGTGATGGACATATCGGTGACAATTGATAGGGCTATGGATGGCGCGAATCTATTGACGCGAATTGATATTTATTTCATGTGAAACATTGTGAAAATACTTACAGCTCAACCCCGAAGAATGGTATCTATAGATAAAGCATTTTTATTAATACAGTATATTTGTTATGATTGAAATAATGCAGACATACCATACATAACAGCGCCGATATATTCGCTAAGATTTGTAAATACTTTGATTTAAATCGTTTCAAAATATATTCATTGACTGAAACCAAATTCATTTTATAAAAGACGGGAATAAAGAGCTCGCAGGCTATGAATGCGGCCAAAATGGCTGGTATTATGATAAAGTACAACATGGTTCCCGTCGCGTATACCACTGTTGGAAAGCCTATGAATGCAGTGCTCGGCAGGAAACTGGCCATAATCGATATGGTAACCGGAAGTATCGACATATGTTTGCCCCTATAGAAGACAATTTAATACTTTCATTTTGTGGTCACAATCGGTGGTAAAGTGAATACCCCCTCAGGAACTCGTCTTCATCAGTGTTGTTGCGGTCTTTCCACGCATAGTATAGCCCTATGATTGTGGACACCATTAACATACCGATGAACACCACATAGTCTACGGCACCGAAATGGTCAGACATTGTGTCTTATTTTTATTGTTATCACTTTTCTAGATCTTTGGAAATAGATTTCTAATAAACTAAAGCCAAATCACTATTTTATTTTCATAGCTCTTACACAAAATGTAATTAAAAATATTACCGGTATTAGGAATTATATATCACTCGACCCATGCCTGTAAATTTCGTATAACTTATGGAACTTTATTACTTTTACATTAATTAACTTTTCAAATTAACATTTTTGAAAAGTGATCTAAAATTTCATTTCACTTACTATTACTATAACTTTTTTTAGCTTTAAAGTATAAGTTATACAGAGTTTGTGCAGTTTTTGAATTGAATTCATTGATAAAATTTTACTTTTAATCTATTAAAGCACTAATTAACCGATCGATGAACTAAATTACATTACATTTCGCCTATAACTCAGACGTTGTTATTAAAAATGGTATTTATTGTTAAATTACTGCAAAAAATAATTATGTTTTTCAAGTAAATGTCAAACAGTCCGTGTATTTAATGCATATTTATTGATAAAATAAATTAATTATTTGACATATACTGTAATTAATTTGATTTGTAAAACATATTAACAGTATATCTATTAAAACTAACTGTTTTACTAAATAGACTGTACATATGATTGGTGTAAAAGTGGTTATACATGTGTGCGAGCCATCGGTGATACAGATCGGGGGTAAAAGTTGTCGTTTCGCAACGGGTTGGCCATCGATTGGTCGTCTTCGTGAGCGATGTCTTCGTCGCCATCGGCGCCGTCTAATCGACGGCCCATTTCCCGCATCGCGACCATCGGTTTGCCCACCGATTGGCCATTAATTGTGTCATCTCTGGATTGACGGCCAGGTTTGTCGTTCTGCAACTGACGCCAACTCTCGGGCAACAGTTTCTCCAAATAATAACAGGCAGTGATGTTAATCAGGTTTTTGTCTAAACGCCGCCCTTTATTGCCTTTTGTCGCCAAACTTACGATATTTCCCACAATAAGTGCCACAAAGAAACCGATGAACGGCACGAAGAATGGAGAGATGTGATGGACTATATCAATGCCTGTATTATTAATTTAATTCATTAATCTATTTAATTAACTAATAGTTGTGACATATTTTGCATACCTTTTGGATGATAACGAGGTATTTTATATGTCTGCATGAAAGCCAGGGGCGCGCCCGGAATATTATAGGGGTTGGATATGTTGAGCGCTTCGCAGCCCACAGTTGTCAGCGCCAAACCCATAGTCGCCGGATCTCTTTTGTCGGCCACCGAACCGATTGTTATCCAAAAGCATACGACTTGTCCGAGAATCAGAGCGGCGGCCCCTCCGATAGCGTTAGCCCACGGAATGAATAGACCCAAAGAGAATAGACCTAAGAGGGGTCCGGCGGACCCGCCGTAGAGCATAACCGCCGCCTCCACTATGTTTTTGCTCTCCTTTGCCACGAATGCCATACTTATGGACAAAACGCCAATCAAAATGGCCAACAGTTTAGTGGCGTATATGCTATAGCGGTCGGGCAAGAAGTGGAACAGTTTGCGGGCGTAATCGTCCCAAACAATGGACGCCATGGCGTTTATACCCGACGATAAAGTACTCAAAGAGCTGCCAAACACCAGACCCACGAACGCGCCCGGAATACCCGGATAGTCGTCTTCGAAGATGTCGAGTACGAAATACGGCAACAATTGATCCGGTCTTTTGACACGACCCGTCAGAAGTGGACAGCAGTCGTAATATCTAGCAAACATCATAACACCGGTTGTCAGACACAGTATAATCACGAGTACATAACCGGGTGTCGCGAAATACAGGGCTTTCTTAGCGGCGCCGAGACTTGGCATACATATGATTCGTTGTATTTGCATTTGATTGGTGCTGAAAGTGCCCGCGTATATCACTGTCCAGCCAAGTATTATGATCCAAAATGAATTTGTTGAATAGATGTCAAAGTCCATGCTATCGTTGCACATAAATGGCATGTAAAGTGTAAATGTAAAAAATAATATGGTCAAACTTATATTATTCTAGCATTACTTCCAGAACTCGATACGTCCGCCCGCGTGAGCCCTCTCGAAAACGTTGGCCATTCCTCCCGATATGTTTGCGCCCTTTAATTGTTTGAATCAATTATAATATTTCAGTTATTTATAACCGAAAGTTAGTTGTAGTAAATAAGTGACGAACTCTGATAACGACAGCCATTAGTCCGAACATCATTACAGAGAACTGGAAGAAGTCGGTCCATATGACACCCTTTAGACCACCCAATGAGGTATAAACGGTTACAACGGAACCAATGATTAAAATGCTTGATGTGATGGACATATCGGTGACAATTGATAGGGCTATGGATGGCNGAACGGAATCTCTATTAGAAAAAAGTGAAAAAAATTAGGACACAATGTCTGACTACTTCGGTGTCGTAGACTACGTGGTGTTCATCGGTATGTTAATGGTGTCCACAATTATAGGGCTATACTATGCGTGGAAAGACCGCAACAACACCGACGAAGACGAGTTCCTGAGGGGGTATTCATTTCACCACCAATTGTGACCATAAAATAAAATATAGTTTTGCAAATAATTTAGAGGGAAACGTATGTCGATATTTCCGGTTACCATATCGATTATGGCCAGTTTCTTGGCGAGCACTAGCTTTATAGGCTTTCCCACTGTTATGTACGCCACGGGAACCATGTTTTATGTGATTATAATACCAGCCATATTGGGCGCAGTCATTGCCTGCGAGCTCTTTATGCCGGTATTTTATAAAATGAATTTGGTTTCAGTCAATGAATATATTTTAAAGCGATTTAAATCCAAATATTTACAAATCATTGCAAATATATCGGCGTTGATAGCGATGGTATGTCTCATGTATGTCAATAACCACAAAAAATTAAACCTATCATTATTTCATAGATACCATTCTTCGGGGTCGAACTGTAAGCCTATTTAAAATATCTTACATTGCATTACATCTTTATTTGAGTGAATAGATTCGCGCCATCCATAGCCCTATCAATTGTCACCGATATGTCCATCACATCAAGCATTTTAATCATTGGTTCCGTTGTAACTGTTTATACCTCATTGGGTGGTCTAAAGGGTGTCATATGGACCGACTTCTTCCAGTTCTCTGTTATGATGTTCGGACTAATGGCTGTTGTTATCAGAGTTCGTCACTTATTTACTAACTTTCGGTAATAAATAACTGAAATATAATAATTGATTCAAACAATTAAAGGGCGCAAACATATCGGGAGGAATGGCCAACGTTTTCGAGAGGGCTCACGCGGGCGGACGTATCGAGTTCTGGAAGTAATGCTAGAATAATATAAGTTTACAATATTTTTTTACATTCACACTTTATATGCCATTTATGCGCAACGATAGCATGGACTTTGACATCTATTCAACGAACTCATTTTGGATCATAATACTTGGCTGGACAGTGATATACGCGGGCACAAAGTCGTGGTTAGTTTACGTTTATGTTGCTTAGTATACATACGGTTCAGAGCCGCGGCGATTCTTTCGGGACATAAAGCGCTGTGGGCCAATACATGAGCACTAATATGACACAGACTGTTGGCCACTTATGATGTTTGCTAGATATTACGACTGCTGTCCACTTCTGACGGGTCGTGTCAAAAGACCGGATCAATTGTTGCCGTATTTCGTACTCGACATCTTCGAAGACGACTATCCGGGTATTCCGGGCGCGTTCGTGGGTCTGGTGTTTGGCAGCTCTTTGAGTACTTTATCGTCGGGTATAAACGGGTACCGCAGGTAACAAACCCTGCTAATGCGGGCGTTTGACAAGGTGAAGAACGGGCTGGCGATATCGTATATGCGGTGATTTGACAACCGGTAAAACTAACCGCAAAACAGGTATTCATACCGTAATGTGGCAAAGGAGAGCAAAAACATAGTGGAGGCGGCGGTTATGCTCTACGGCGGGTCCGCCGGACCCCTCTTAGGTCTATTCTCTTTGGGTCTATTCATTCCGTGGGCTAACGCTATTGGAGGCGCCGCCGCTCTGATTCTCGGACAAGTCGTATGCTTTTGGATAACAATCGGTTCGGTGGCCGACAAAAGAGATCCAGCGACTATGGGTTTGGCGCTGACAACTGTGGGCTGCGAAGCGCTCAACATATCCAACCCCTATAATATTCCGGGCGCGCCCTTGGCTTTCATGCAGTCATATAAAATACCTCGTTATCATCCAAAAGGTATGCAAAATATGTCACAACTATTAGTTAATTAAATAGATTAATAAATTAAATTAATAATACAGGTATTGATATAGTCCATCACATTTCTCCATTCTTCGTGCCGTTCATCGGTTTCTTTGTGTCACTAATTGTGGGAAATATCGTAAGTTTGGCGACAAAAGGCAATAAAGGACGGCGTTTAGACAAAAACCTGATTAACATCACTGCCTGTTATTATTTGGAGAAACTGTTGCCCGAGAGTTGGCGTCAGTTGCAGAACGACAGACCCGGCCGTCAATCCAGAGATGACCCGATTAATGGCCAATCGGTGGGCAAACCGATGGTCGCAATGCGGGAAATGGGCCGTCGATTGGACGGCGCCGATGGCGACGAAGACATCGCTCACGAAGACGACCAATCGATGGCCAACCCGTTGCGAAACGACAACTTTTACCCCCGATCTGTATCACCGATGACTCGCACACATGTATAATCACTTTTACACCAATCATATCTACAGTCTATTTAGTAAAACAGTTAGTTTTAATAGATATACTGTTAATATGTTTTACAAATCAAATTAATTACAGTATATGTCAAATAATTAATTTATTTTATCAATAAATATACGTTAAATACACGGACTGTTTGACATTTACTTGAAAAACATAATTATTTTTTGCAGTAATTTAACAATAAATACCATTTTTAATAACAACGTCTGAGTTATAGGCGAAATGTAACGTAATTTAGATCATCGATCGGTTAATTAGTGCTTTAATCGATTAAAAGTAAAATTTTATCAATGAATTCAATTCAAAAACTGCACAAACTCTGTATAACTTATACTTTAAAGTTAAAAAAGTTATACTAATAGTAATAGTAAGTGAAATGAAATTTTAGATCACTTTTCAAAAATGTTAATTTGAAAAGTTAATTAATGTAAAAGTAATAAAGTTCCATAAGTTATACGAAATTTACAGGCATGGTTCGAGTGATATATAATTCCTAATACCGGTAATATTTTTAATTACATTTTGTATAAGAGCTATAAAAATAAAATTGTGATTTGGCTTTAGTTTATTAGAAATCCATTTCCAAAGATTTAGAAAAGTGGTAAAAAAGGAAATAAGACACAATGTCTGACCATTTCGGTGCCGTAGACTATGTGGTGTTCATCGGTATGTTAATGGTGTCCACAATCATAGGGCTATACTATGCGTGGAAAGACCGCAACAACACTGATGAAGACGAGTTCCTGAGGGGGTATTCACTTCACCACCGATTGTGACCACAAAATGAAAGTATTAAATTGTCTTCTATAGGGGCAAACATATGTCGATACTTCCGGTTACCATATCGATTATGGCCAGTTTCCTGCCGAGCACTGCGTTCATAGGCTTTCCAACAGTGGTGTACGCGACGGGAACCATGTTGTACTTTATCATAATACCAGCCATTTTGGCCGCATTCATAGCCTGCGAGCTCTTTATTCCCGTCTTTTATAACATGAATTTGGTTTCAGTCAATGAATATATTTTGAAACGATTTAAATCAAAGTATTTACAAGTCTTAGCGAATATATCGGCGCTGTTATGTATGGTATGTCTGCATTATTTCAATCACAACAAATATACTGTATTAACAAAAATCCTTTATCTATAGATACCATTCTTCGGGGTTGAGCTGTAAGTATTTTCACAATGTTTCGCATGAAATAAATAACAATTCGCGTCAATAGATTCGCGCCATCCATAGCCCTATCAATTGTCACCGATATGTCCATCACATCAAGCATTTTAGTCATCGGTTTTATTGTTACAATATATACCTCATTGGGTGGTCTAAAGGGTGTCATATGGACCGACTTCTTCCAGTTCTGTGTTATGATCTTAGGACTAATGGCTGTTGTTATCAGAGTTCGTCACTTATTTACTATAACTAACTTTCGGTAATAAATAACTGAAATATAATAATTGCTTCAAACAATTAAAGGGCGCAAACATATCGGGAGGAATGGCCAATGTTTTCGAGAGGGCTCACGCGGGCGGACGTATCGAGTTCTGGAAGTAATGCTAAAATAATATAAGTTTAACAATTATTTTACATTTACACTTTACATTCAAATAATAGCATGGACTTTGACATCTATTCAACAAGCTCATTTTGGGTTATGATGCTGGGCTTCATAGTGCTATACAGCGGCACATTTAGCACCAATCAAATGCAAATACAACGGGTTGTATGTATGCCTAATCTTCGGGCCGCTAAGAGAGCCCTATACTTCGCGACACCCGGTTATGTACTGGTCATTGTGTTGTGCCTGACAACCGGTGTTATGATGTTTGCCAGATATTACGACTGCTGTCCACTGGTTACCGGTCGCGTCAAACGTCCGGATCAAATGCTACCGTTCTTCGTGCTGGACATCTTTGAGGGCGACTATCCGGGTCTTCCCGGAATGTTCGTGGCTCTGGTTTTTGGCAGCTCTTTGAGTACTCTGTCGTCGGGTCTAAACGCCATGGCGTCCATTATTTGGGACGATTACGCCCGCAAAGTGNTGAGTACTCTGTCGTCGGGTCTAAACGCCATGGCGTCCATTATTTGGGACGATTACGCCCGCAAAGTGTTTCACTTCTTGCCCGATAAGTACAGCGTTTACGCCACTAAACTGTTGGCCATTTTGATTGGCATTGTGTCCATAAGTATGGCGTTTGTGGCCAAAGAGACCCAAAACATAGTGGAGGCGGCGATTATGCTTTACGGCGCGTCCAATGGGCCCCTCTTTGGCCTCTTCTGTTTGGGTCTATTCTTTCCGTGGGCTAACGCTATCGGAGGCGCCGCCGCTCTCATCGTCGGACAGATTATATGCTTTTGGATTACAATCGGATCCGTTTCGGACAAGAGAGACCCGACGACTATGGCGCTGGCCTTAACCACAGTGGGCTGCGATGCGCTAAACATCACTTATTACAGCCAAAACATTACGGACGTGCCCTTGGCTTTCATGCAAGCATATAAAGTACCACGTTATCACCCCAAAGGTGATTTCTAAGACCATAATCATTTATCTAATTTACACCATTAACCCATTCAATCAATGCAATTACAGGCAATGACATAATCCATCACATCTCGCCATTCTTCGTGCCGTTCATCGGTTTCTTTGTGTCACTAATTGTGGGAAATATCGTAAGTTTGGCGACAAAAGGCAATAAAGGGCGGCGTTTAGACAAAAACCTGATTAACATCACTGCCTGTTATTATTTGGAGAAACTGTTGCCCGAGAGTTGGCGTCAGTTGCAGAACGACAGACCAGTGCGTCGGGTCAGAGACGTCCACTCGTCGCCCAATAATCAGCCGACAGACAAACCGATGGTCGCTATGCGACAACTGAATCGCCGTTTGGGCGTAACCGACGACAACGGCGACGAAGACCAAGAGATAGTGAATCCGTTGCGCAACGACCAGACGGCCAACATTTATCCCCGAATACCACCGATCGCTCGCACAAACGTATAGCACTTCCACACCATTCACATGGATATAGATTTAGTTTTTTAGCAAATCTACTGCACATACAAGTAGTCTAAACACTAACTGATTTGATCAACAAATATGCACTCAATTTAAATGTAATCAAAAAACTATTTAGCATTAACTGAGAAAATCTATTGTATTATCAAATCTATTGTTTTACGCATATTTGACAATAGTTTGCCATTTCATGACATCGTGCGTACAATCGGTGGTATTTTAGCACTAATTTCATACCAAAATTGAGACCTACTATTGGGTCAACATTTTTGTACACTCTTTAAACCAATAGACAGAAAGACATACAAAAATAAAATAAAACTTTTAATTT